TTGGGGCATGAATCGGTCACTACAAGTACAAATGCAATCCGAGATAAACAGGCTTTCTGCAGAAAGAAGTTAATTCAAAGATGCTTGCCAGCTAGAGGTAAACACCAAAACTGAAATGGTTCCTGCCATTTGGATTATGCTGCATTTGTGTGTTATTTCTTTCCCTGGGATAAGATATTGGAGAAGTCATCTTTCTGTGTAGTCACTAAAGGCATTTCATCTGCGTTCTAGATCATGGGGGCTTGGCTGTGTCGCAGCTGAATGTGAAGGTTTTTTGACTGCAAATTAAAGCAGTGTCAGCTCTTCCATCTTGATTTCTGTTAAAGGTTATTTATGACAGTCAAGAACAGGACAGTGCCTGCTGCTATACTTCACACATATTATTAACATATTTCCAACTTTTCCTGAGACTTTGGGGATGATTCTGAAGGAAAGGATTTCCTAGCTTAGCCCCCGTACAACTGCTGACTAGACCCTTCCTTTCCAGACAAATTGCCTTGTAATTATTTTTGCTAAGGAATACCACATAGGTGGAGGCCTAAGAATGATATTAGAAGGGCTTTGAAAATAGACCTACTCCAGTCATGTTCCTTTAGAGACTTGGGATGAAGGAAATGAAATTTCAAGTTTATTTTATATCTACTTAACAGTAGATAGAACACTGGATTTCAAAAGTATTCTGCATAAAATATGAAATATATTGCAGAAGGGTTCTGGCTCCACTTAGAATATGATATCGTTGCTTCTTTGTTTAAAAACTGTATATTAATGTGATGTAAGAAAAGCCTTTCTCCATTAGTAACACTTTGCAGACTGACTGACCAGTCTTCCACAGGAACTTTCTGTCCTAGTTCTAAAAACTCAATTAACTAATCTATCTGGGGAAAAGAGGTAGTGTGTTTGTGTGTGTGTGTTTGTATCTGTATGTGTTTTGCCCAGGGGTATAGTCTGTCTCATTCTTTTTCTGCTCAATATGCTACTTTCCTTGCTTATTATAGGAAATATATTAGTTCAGGGAAGGAATTGTTAGCGGGTGTTGATTTCTGTCCTAGTCCACTCTGCCCTTTTGGGACTCATGAAATAACCAGGTCACAGGTTTTTCAGTTGAATCGTTCTTTGTTCTTACTTTGCTTTAATCTGCAGTGAAGATCTTCTAACAATACAGCACTCTACTATCCTTAGAAGTTGTAAGTATTCCAAATAAAGGAACTGGAGACATCTTACTGAACATTCAGAATGTCTTTTTCATTTTTCTGGGAAATTGAAGTAATTTCCTTTATTTAAAAAAACAAACAAACAAACAAAATCACAAAAAAAAACCCAAACCAAAATGAAAACCAAAAAAACCCAAATCCAAAACCAGATTTGACTTATAGCAAATTAATCTTTTGTGGTGACAGTTCTGTACTGAAATGAGAAATAAAATTGTGTTAAAAATGGTAAGTGGAGTAATAAAAAATTAGTGCTTACAAAGATTAATTTAAAAAAAGTAATTGTTACATTTTTGTAAAAGTATACATAGTAAAAGAAAATTAGAAGTTATTGTAATAATCTTTCATTCATTAGCTGTAAGCTTATTATGTGTTACTTATAGATGTCTCTGTACTCTATTTATAGCATTCCTTATAAAGAATAAGCATCTAGCTAAACATGAATAGATACAACATAATCACTTTTATATTCATCATTAACAGGAGCCATAGTATTATGTGATGTTACAAAATATTAGCAGCTGATATGGCCTCTGTTGTGCCACAGTATTGGCTAACGTAAACACAGCTGCTGTGGATCATATACTAGAGAGACCATTTTGTTGATCACCTAATACTCCTGTTTGTTTTTTTCTATAAATGGATTTTCAAATAATAAGGTCCAGCGTGATGCATAATGAAAAGTAACATTTTGGTAGAAATGGATTTAGATATGGTAAATTGAGTGCAGAAGTTTAAAGGAAGGTTTTGATCACAGATATTTTGTTTCAGGGGCAAGAACTGTGAAGGAAGGAATGTTGCCCATTGGACAAGTAGCAACCCAGGAATGCTGTTGCGGGCAACATAATTGTGCATTCAAAGAGGAAATTTTAACATTGTATTTGTAAATAATGTGGTTATTTGTACTGATGCAAATTACTACCTTTTTATTTTTCCAACTCTTTGAGATTATTGCCTTGATGTAATAACATCTTAATTTATTTTTGAGAAATAAATTTTATTTTTAAGTATCTTGAGTTGCAGGAATTAATTTCAGCTGTCATTTTTTTCCAAGGATTTTAAACCATGTACTTGTGTTTCACATCTAACATCTAATTAAGAGCACAATGGTATTACCTTATTAACAATTTTAGTTTGGGAATATTTTCTCTTTTTTCTTTTTTTCCTTTTTTTGTACACATACAATGTTGCAGACACAGTATCTTATTAAAAGTGACCTGCTTGTAAGATGTTTTAGGACACTGATTTGATGATAGACACTGGCAAAACCTTCTTGCTTTACTCTAGGCAGTATCTTTCAGATGCAGAGGGGTGTGGGACAGGGCCATAAAGCTTGAACTTTTTTTTTTCCCCCCAAACCAAAATCCATACAAAAATTACTGTTGATTAAAATGGCATCATAATTATGCATTGTAAAACATATTTATTTCCAATTTTCCAAAAGTACTGCACAATTTACCTAGTACAAATGGCTAGTGGCCCAAGTTTCTAACACTTCTATATCTACATAAGCATCAGAAACTGCAAATATGGTTATAAGAGGCTTAAATCTGAGTCTGATTAATGCAAACATGATTTATGTGCATTAAGACATGTGATTCATACTGCAGAAAATCAAGTTAATAAATTTATTTGACATAAAGCAGAGGAACAGAATTGAATGTATTGCAATTTAAAGATCAGGCCTAAGTTAAGTGTTTTGTGTATTGAAAGTGTATCTCGGCCAACAAACCTATCTGTTGTATTTCAGCAACTCTGCAGGTGAAAGTGTGCTAAACTCCTTTCACTGTTTATGCAAATGTTGCACAAATGCAACTGTTCTACTTTAAGTGATTATACAAAACCAGGCAGGCATTTCACTACTGTTGACAAGGTCAAGATACACTCATCTAAAGTATTTCTGCAGTTTCAGATAATTTTCATAATAGCAAAATAAATAATGATGTAGCAAAAAATGCTGTTTACTTGTGGAAATAAATATATTGTGTGTTTTAAATCAAGCTATTTGTTTCTCTACATAGTAGTAAATAAAAAAACATTAGAATTAGGTAGACCAGTGTAATAATTGAAAAATATTAAACTATTTTTTTTCTTCTCTTTAGGCAGATCAGTTTGCCTTCAGGCTAGAAATCTATGCATCAAATTTCAGACAGATTTTTTTAAAGCAAAGGAACACACAACCCCTTCAAACAAGGATTTCAAGTGGAAAATACAACCATTCTGTAATTACAGTCACACCACAACACTAGTGGAATTCCACTAACGTAGTGTTGCATAAAGCCTTACTTTCTCCTCCTACGTGCACTAAATATAAAAGTGCGCGAGCAGCAAAAGCAATTTGCCTAATATCTGAATCGGCCAAATGGCATTTGCATTAAAATTGTGTATCTGGATACTAACTTCTCTAGTAAAAACATGGGTTAAACCTGATAACTAAGTAGTATCATAATTACATTTTCTCATTGACTTTAGATGCTGTCTTGCTATTTTTTGCTTGCCTGAGAAGCTGGTGATTACACTTGTTATACTGTTCAAATGAATTTTTTTGTTTTGGAAAGCAGGGACTTCCCCCCCCCATATCATAATTTCAGTTAAATGTTTCTGTAGAGTCCTACTTCTCTTGAGTTACTAACCAATTTACCCCTATGCAAATCCTGGAACACTAAGTTTATTCTTCTGAACTGCATTGCATTAATGTGGGGTTATTGAATCTTGGCAAACATTTTTCTGTGTATAATGGCATTGCTATTAGCTGAATGCTGTTCAGAAGGTGAATTGCTTATTAAGGTGATTCTTTTTCTGTCACTCAGGATGAGTTATAAATTTCACAGGAGACTGATTTTTCTTTCCGAATGTCGTATGCCTACAGACTGTACGTTAAATGCAAACTGCACCAAATTGCCAGTCCAGATGTGTCCCTCCCCTAATTCAGAGTTTGTATGGAAAGTTGGTGGAATATTTTCTTGAAAACGAAAATGGAGTCAGACATCATGCTAGTTCTGATTTTTTTTTTTTTTCCAACTTGTCAATTGGAGAATATAAAGTGTTCAAAGAGATTTCAGCGTTAGCAAGGATGTAGTGAAGCTGGTCTGTTCAATGTCTTCCTGGCTGTTCTCCACTGCCGGCACACTTGCTTACTTTCTCTATTCTTGGTTGGGAACAGTGCCAAAAAGAAATGTGAGGAATCTGTCTAAACAACTTGTCTCTTTCCAAATCCACATCCCATTTTTCAATTTACTTTTTCTGTAAAGCCTATTAGGGCTCTTAGAATAGTAAGGCATCAGGGAAGAAATCAATTTGTCATTCTGTTGCAAAGGAATGAGGAGGGTGCTGTAAGTGTAGGAACCCTGAACACCTTTAACAGAGGGATCCCATTTTGGGTGCAGTTTACTTTCCACAGACGTGAGCGGAGAACTTGACACTACAGACTGATTGTAATTGTGGCAAGGCTTTTCCTGCCAGTAGTATGCAAACTGGTTATTCCACTGTTAAAAAAAAAAAATCCATGTAGCTTACAAATGTCTCATTTTAAAGATTAATCAAATTTTGTATTAACTATAGTCCATGTTGATAATGCAGATTATAAGCTCATGCAGGAGCATCTGCTTCTGTTTTTGTCTAGTTGGAGATTATCCCTTAATCATGCAGGGTCCAGGTGTGCATTTTCAGATTTGTTGACTCAGGAAAGCTGGAGATAGCATTAAAGGCCAATGACGTTCTACTGTAGCTACATTTAGGCTGTTGCTGCTCTGAACAAGAACTCTTGCTTGAACCACCCAGTTGAAAAGAATGGCAAGAAGAAATGTCCTCATTACAGGTTGCTCCTCAGGAATTGGACTGGCCTTAGCTGTAAAAATGGCAAAAGATGAACAGAAAAGATTTAAAGGTAACAATATATCTGTTATTTATCTTTATAAAGAGAGATTCTTCAAGGCAGTACTTTTTTTTTTTTTTTTACTCTGATTTAACAGGTGATTGTATTCAGTGACTTGTTAGTTTCCCCCCTCCTACTCATAAAAATACAATACAGTGAAAATATGCTGCTTTCTGTAAGCAGATGATATTTCTGTACCTGTATTGAAGCTGAACAGCTACTTGAACTGTATAGTTTACAATCCCCCCCCCCGACAATAGTATAAAAACAAGTAGCTGAAAATGTCTGCAGTATGCTGCCTTGGATATACGTTCACAGGTGTAGTTAGCTTTGCATCTGGCTACTAAAATCTTTCTTGAATGAAATGTACATGCCCATTTGAGGACCAAGGAAATCAATTTAGGAAAACAGTTCTTAAATTTGCAATTTTTTCCTTAAAGCATGTTTCATTATTCCAACCCTGTGTAGGCATAAGAAGGTGAACAAAGGGGCTGAGATTTGTCTTTCTCTGCTGTAAAATGTGATATTTGCTATGATTGAAAACGGATGGCAAGGCAAATACAGCAATCTGTGGTAATTCAGTTTCTCACACTTACTCTCACAGTATTTTACTGCTAACTGACTGGATGCAGATTCGTAGTTTTCTGAGTAATTAGGTTACAATAATGATAAAACTAATTTCTCTTTTGAGAAGTAGCTTGCAAAAATAGACATTTTTGCAACCTAAGGAAGCATCTGTCTTCCACTTCTTAATAAAATTATGGTTGTTGTGCTAAACATGTTGATGGTGATTAAGGGAAAAAAAAAAGGATATCTGGAATCCAAAATTAGGTTTTAGGTACCTAAAAACGATTCAGTGGCATAAATTGATACCCATTATTTGAAGTTTTGGTGATAATATTATCTTCATACGCTACATGTTCATTGTGCATAGCAGTTTAATTCTCATTTTGAATTTCTTGAATATTTCAGAAGCAGACTCTGGGAAATCAGTGACAATGTATGTTGAAAATAGATTCTTTCTACTTTAAGTTTTTATCTGGGTTCTGTCACTGGTATTTAAGATATGGATGTAAAAGCACTATTCTTTAATACTCCTCAGTAACACTGCCACAGAAAAGGTTTTATTTCTGATAATTGTTGCTTCTGGTGTGTTGCAGTGTATGCCACAATGCGGAATCTGGCCAAGAAAGAGCCACTCGAGGAAGCTGCAGGTCGCAGGCTGGGCAAAACCCTCGAAATTAAACAACTGGATGTCTGTGATGAACAATCTATTAAAACTTGTGTGAATAGTATCCCTGACAGAAGGATTGATGTCCTAGGCAAGTATAGGCTGTGCGTGCTACGAACAGATAACAGTTTTCTATTTAACATCTTCTCAGATACCTTGGAGAAGTTTCATTAGTGTATTTTTTAAATTATCAAAGTAATAATAATTGTATAGTGTATTCTGTTCAAGATTCTTAAGGCTTCATGCAGACATGAGTGAATTAAATCTCGCCATGCTTCTGTGAAGTAGGGAGGCTTGTTTTCCCTGTTTACAAGAGAAACTTGATCACAGAGCAGTGTCTTGGATAAGATGATACAGTTTTTAGTAAATGTGAGAAGAGAACTTTTGCCTAAATTGGCACGTTCATGTACAAGACTTTCTGCCCTATCGATGAAGCACAGCCCTATTTACAATGAAGGCGACAGCTCTCTGTACTAAGAAAGTGACAGCATTTGGGAATTAGCAAGTAAAAGAACAAATGCAAAGAAAGGAAGAATACTTTAATTTTGTATTGAGAAATTGGAATTGTACTTCACAAATCATTCAACAAGAAGTGTTTTCATACTGTTTTGCTAAAAATAAATATCTTAGTAAGATGGAAATTGCCTACACCATCAACTATTAAATCTTCTCTAATAGAAAATTATGGACCTGCTTTTATTTTGATTAATTATTAAAGCACTGCTTAACAAGCTGCTTCTGCAAACTGTATTATACTCTAATTTGACACACTGGTTGCAGAGCAGAATGCCAGTTCTATCAATCACTCCCCACTTATCAATATCCAGGAGGCAAATAAAAATCAATGGAAGTGTGGTTTTGGTTTTGTTTTGTTTTGTTTTCTTGAAGATGTGAATGTTAAAAAACAAAACAAAAAGTAGACCAAAATATAGTCTTTGGAATAAATAATTCTGTTCATTCCTATGGGTATTGACTAATGCTTAATACTGAGTTATAAACAAATATAGATCATTCTTGGCTCATTTGCCTGTAATCCTTTTATAATTTAAAGGACTAATCAGAAATAAATTAGTTAAAATGCAAAATATCAGATAATTTAAATTGGATTAAAAGCATAAATAAAAATAAAAATTATGGAAATGTCAAGTGCATTTCCAAAGCTTTAGTGACAGAATAGCCTCATTTAATCCTTTCTTTAAGGATTATTTAAGGATCATTTAATCCTTAATCCTCACTTTACTTTCAAATGCTTTCCAGTAATGATTACAAGTTAACCGTTACGGAGGTTATTGCTCACTATTGTCTTCCATTTTGTGCAGTTAGCAATGCTGGAATGGGGCTCATTGGACCTATTGAATGTCAGAGCATAGATGAAATGAAAACTGTGATGGATACCAACTTCTTTGGACTGGTTCGACTCCTGAAGGAGATTTTGCCTGACATGAAGAGGAGAAAGAGCGGGCATATAGTTATAATAAGCAGCGTTATGGGAATACAAGGCAAAGTTGTTGGTTTTTTGTTTGTTTGAACTAAGAGTTCAGGATTCAAAATCTAAAGCTTACATCTTTTTATCTGGAAAAAAAAAAAGTAGGAGCTAGCCTATTGAACTATTGTGCTTTGTAATGCTGAAGTTCCAACTATACAAAGCACAGCACTTGGACTTGATGGTTTTTATGCATCTAGGTAGTATGTTACTGCACAACTACTCTCAAGACATTTTAACAACAAAACCTGCAGAGCGATTTTTTTTTTTTTAGAGTTTTAACTTGAAGTAATTATTTTTATTTATTTTTTTTTTTATTTCATTATTTTATTTTTGTTATCTGGAAAACAGGGCTAAGTAGCATTACTTTTCTCTTTCCTATTGCAAAATATTATGGGGACAGGCAAACATGCTTACTACACATTACATACAGTAATAATGGAATAAAATCCAATCATGGCCTGGACAACTGTACCACCTTTTTGTAAAGTTTCTCCTCTCATAAAACTCCACAGAGTCTAATTTTAGCCACAGATAATGATGCTCCGACTCTTGCACTCCATCCGGTCTAGCTGTATTTCTTTCAATTATTACAATAGTGGCATTAATCTTACCTGGATTATCCTGGTGAGTGAGGGTCCTAAGTCAAAATGCAAGAGTTGTTATTGTTTAATACAATACTTAGCATCCACCTAAATGGACTGATGTAGTGCTTTTTCTAAATCACTCAGATGCAAGCTGGATCTCTTGCATAATTGTATTTCCTGCATTGCACTCAGCTTCCGTGTTCATCTATAGCCTATTAAAGTCTTGCTGATAAATAATGCAGATGGTATTGTATGTATGGACACTTTCATACCTTAGACTACAAAATATTTAATATCATCCAAAGAGATCACAGCATCAGCTAGGAGGAGGAAAAGCATTAGTCAAGCATCCTTTCCTAGAATAAGCAATTTTGAGAACATACGCAAAAAATCGGTATTTAGATTCAGTATACACAAGGATTTTTCTAATGTTTTCCCAGCAAGACTGTAGAAATTTTGGGAAAATACAAGAATTTTTAAAACTAAACTGTTAGTATGTTGAATCCAATCACATTCTCAGGATGTTTTGTTTGTACCATCAGGTATATTATTTAATGACGTCTATGCTGCATCTAAGTTTGCTGTGGAGGGATTCTGTGAAAGTTTAGCTATACAAGCACTCAAGTTCAAACTGCAGTAAGTATTGATCCACTGGTGTAAATTGTATTTTAGATAATTTCAAATATATTCAGAGCTAGCAAACAAATTTTTAAAGCTTGCTGCTATCTAGGAGAAACAGATTGATGAACCCATGGAAACTGTACATCACAGAAGGCATAGAAATGTCCACATTCTTCACACTACGTAAGCAAATAAAGAGGTCTAGATGCTAAAATAAACATGTTCTCTTGATCACTTAAAAGGCTGTTTAGCTTTGGATAAAATACAGTTTATGTAACACTTCTGAAAACAGATTCTTGCATACAATATCATAGGAATAAAATGATAACATCAACCTGTATTTTCCTTTAGAAAGGATAACAGACTTCTTAGGCAATTCATAGATAAAAAAGTTCAAGGGCTCATCATGGCGAGGGAGCAAGTGGAAATCCATCAGAAGGGTACACAGGGCGAGATACCTATGACAGGAGGTGGGAGGAAAGTGAGAAGAATGTGGTATACTATTTCTTAATGTTTAAGAGAATGGCCCTTTTCATCGTCTGTGGGACTTTGGGGTTTGATTTGTCGCATGTATATTCACATTCCTGTAATTCTGCTACTATTCTTTGTGTGAAGTCCAACAATTGTTAAATATCCATTGCACCTCTGTGTGCCTAAGCATTTAGCCCTTGTGCTGTGGGAGAGGAGACAGCTGCTGTCATGGGATTTCAGAGACAAGGCGGCATCCAAACAGTGATTTTGCACACTGCTCTGAAAAGTTTGGAGGGATTTAAAATAAATATATTGTAAACGATACACAGGATATACCAGAATTCATAATAAGATTTCAAGAGTGTAAGATACAGCGAAAACAATGTTAAAAAAAGAAAGTAGAATGGGAAAAGTCCAAAGTCCAGTGTGAAGAGTGACGCAAGAGAAAAGGCTTTAATTCCAGCAGCAGCTGGAATTCTGCTATCAAGGTCAATAGCCTGATTTAGTTCTAAAGAAGAGCCTGGCCAGAACTCAAGTCTAGGAAGAGGTCCTATCCCAAAGAGTGTTTTGATAAACATTGTGGCTGGGAGTAATTACTGCCTGAGAAAAGAACCAGGAAAGAACTGACCAGGACCTATATTTCAGTGATTTGCTATAAAACACTACTGAGCAAAATAAAATTTTCCAGTTTTGCCAGCAGCCAAAATCTGTCCATCCTCAGCAAAATTCTCTGTATTGTATTTTATTATAATATTGTAGAGGGATCTTGAATTACGTAAAACTGACAGCTTGACAAAGAAAATCCATGTTTGGGCAATGCCCCCCTCTCTTTCAGCTACTTCCAGTATTATCATGGGAAAGCTATCACAAAGAAATCTATGTAGGATTTTGTCCACAAAGTAATGATTTCTTTTATGATCCTTTAATTATTTTTCTTAGTATTTTCTAAGTTCTTGTGGATAAATCATCCTACAATTCCACAGCTGTGAGACAGCAGGTAACAACTGCACTCACTTCTGCCACGAATTAAGTTACAGCACTTCCCGGAAATTTAAGCTACAGATTTCTACTGCTACATGTGGATGGGTAGGAGCATGAGAGCAATAATGTGGTATGGATTGCCTTTACACAATATACTGTTAAATATTGCTTGCTAATTCAACTCTTCAATATTCTTTTTTTGAGAAGGATAGAGAGGTGCATTTCCCACGGAGGATAGTCAATAACCAGCGTATCTTTGCTTTTCGAACAGGTTAAGTTTGATTGAACCAGGCCCAGTGGTTACAGAGTTTGAAAGAAAAGTGTTTGAAGATGGAATGAAAATGGATCTTTCAGCTGCAGATGAGGAAACAGCCGAGATGTTTACTAACATTTACCTTAAAAATTACAAACAGATTTTCCAGAGCCTGGGACAAAGTGCCGAAGATGTTGCAGAGGTAACTCATCAACAATTCTCCATCTTTTTCTTTCTCGATTTTTTTTTCTTTGTAATTTACGAACGCACTGGTTGGTTGGTGGGGTTTTTTGGTAGAAGCATTAGATTTAATTAAATGTAATTTACACAATTTAAAATTATTTTTAAAAAACTCAAGAGAATCTCGAGAGTTTTAAACAAAACCCGTTAGAATATTAGAGGAATGTTCATTTTGAAGTATTGAAGACAACTATGAATTGTAATTTAAATACCGCTGAGGTATCAGATGCACTTACACATCATCTGGTGAGGTCTGAACATTCTGCAGTGTTACCATACATCTACAGAGAGTTCCCACTGTTAGTTAAAGCCGCTCTCCTCCCCATCTCACCCCAGACCACTGAGGCACAATAGAAGATACATGGACGTAGTTTCTGGTGCTTGGGGCTTCCTGCAGGAAGACAAGTTTAGGAAATCTGTGGAAGGGGACAATGATTTCAGATGCTTACTGCTGAGGAATAGCTTCAGTGTCAACTGAAGATTCCCAGATCTTGCTGCGAAGTGCACTGTTCCAATCCTTTCCCAGTGAAGTGTAAAAGAAAGGACCTACCTATCGTGGGCATTTAGGCATAATTTTGGAGGACTATTCAGGATACTTAGGTGTAAGGTGCTATCACCATGGTATAGATAAACAGAAATAGGGCTAAGAATAAATAAGAAGTACTTCTTATGGCCTTAAAAATATTTTAAGAAAAAATTCTAACGCAATTCTAGTAAAACTACATAAAGGTTTTACATAATTGTAGCGCTTCATTCTTCTACTTTTCCTCTGCTCAACTGAAAACTAGGTTTTTACTTTATTGTTTTGGTAGAGGTTCTTTAACAATTCTGTTTCTCGTTCTTGACAGCATACGGTAAAGATAATTCTTGCAGAAAATCCACCTTTTCGCCATCAGACCAACACCTTGTATACTCCAATGACAACGCTGAAATATGCAGATCCAAATGGAGATCTACCCATTGACATATTCTACAAAATGGTTTTTCATCATGACAAAATCTTCAGTGCAAGTCTTAACTTTATCAAATTGCTAAGGTGGAGAAGTAGAAAGAGCTTTGACCTGGGAAAACCCTCCCAATAAGTATGAGATTATATAGCGCAAATTGGAATTACTTGTAGCTGCTGATAATGCAGTACGTTGTTATTCAAATGCCTTTGCTCTGCAATTGTGAAAAGGCATTCAAGATGTTTATTTGAGCTTAGCAAAGATATTCAGCTCAATGCGTTTATCTTGAACTTTACAGTTTGCAGAACCTTGAAATTAAAATCCTCTAACTATAGGTTTATTCTGTTTAGTGTTTGCTTTTTAGAGATCTGTTTTCATGGGAACATGACCATTGGCTGATACTTGCATGTTCAATATTAACCTGATCCCCTTCACTTATTAGAATATAATACATACTGAGATGTGTGCTGTATGTAAATTATTTAGATTCTTAACATCATAAGAATATTTTATCTTTTTACTTATTAGAATATAATAGAATTAGTGTAGTAATCCCTGAATCACAAGAGCATTCTCATTTTCAGAAATCAGGTCTATTTACCAGTAATATAAGAGAAAGTCTCATCAATCTTAAAATGTCACAACTAGAATATTTCTTATTCATATATATATATGTTATAATATTCTGAATGCTTCCTTTATATTGCAGTGGTTACTGGCATATTACACATAGTGGACAATAAAATGTTTTTTAAAAGCATCTCAAAATAAAACATCTTCTTACTGTCTGGGTACTATTTTTTGCAAAAATAACAAAATATTATCAGTAAGAAGTAATTTAAATCCCATTAAATGCCTTCAGTGCCTTGAGTGACTGAAGCTGAGCCACAGGCTTTCCTTTTCAAGGCATCCTACTTTCTCAAGCAGAATTCTATCATGAGGAGAAGGTTTTTCCCTCTCTTTCTCTCACCCTAGTCCTACAAGTCAGCTGAGGCCAAGCTGGGGGCCGGGGCTTAAGCACTGCTCCTGCATGGCATTCTTGTTCTCCGACCTCCAGCCTTGCCTCGGCACTGCCCCTGCCTGGGACGAAGGCCCAATGTCCCTCGGCTTCCAGGCTGCAGTTTCTCAGCCCATTCCAGCAGCAGTCCTGGTTTCACTCAGAGAGCCTAGTTGGAGCTCACTGGGGATACTGGAACTGGCTTGCTTTTTGCCTCAGTACTTTCTCACTAAGCCTAAATCTAACTCGGTGCTAGGACTTGCAGTGACCCTGCCCTGCCCCAAAGGCTAGCTCAGAGGAGCCAAGCAGCAGCCCCTGCGTAGGCAGCTCCTGCAGAGACTGCGCACTTCAGGTAATGCTTGGTTTGCTTTGCGGCCATGACTCTTTGGTGAGGCCCGAGGTGCGGGGAGGACCGCAGGCGGGGGAGCGCTTGGAGGACAGTGCCCACAGCAGCCCCTGCGCACAACTGGAGGTCTCATTTAGGTCCCACTCGTAACTCAGATCTCCTCCAAAATATCAGGCTGGTGCTTGCACCTCAACATCAGTGCGTGGATGGGGCAGAGGTGGGAAGAGCAGCCAGGCTGCAAGTGGGAAGGCGGGAATTCCATGAGAGTGGAGTGCTGCCGGGGCTGAAGGGAGCACGGCCACTCGCCCCTCTGCACCCCGAGAGACCCCGTCACCTTCCATTGAGGGTCAGGGTTACGGCGTGGGCAGAGACGCCCGAAGAACAGGAGGGCCTGTCAGCGGCAAGGGCTGCAGCTGCAGCATCCCCTTTCCTCTCGGCTTTGCTTCCGTGTGGTCGTCTCTGGCCTGCAGCTCGGGGCCGGGCTGCTTTACCCTGTGCTTTCCCTTTGCAGCACAAAGAAACAAGGAGCTACCGGGACGGCAGGTTTTAACGGGCCTGCCACAAATACCGGCGTGGTCTGGTTCGTCGCGTTTCATGCAGCCCTTCCGCTGCTGTTCATGGAGCGGATGAAAGCAGAAAACGCAGCTTCGCAGATGGGTCCCGACTAAATCCAGCAATGGCTGCAACTCGTGGAGGAACCGCGGATGAAGAGCGGAGCACCAGCGGCTCGTCCTGCTTCAGCGGCGAGCTTACCGAGGGCGTCAAACCCCCGCCTCCCACAGAAACCGAGGGGAAGGGCGGGCGGGGCCCGGGGGGGCCCCAGGCGGG